ATTTCTGATATTCTAAATAAACTAAATGCATTTAGAATGTATAGAAAAGCTGCTAATTTTATTTCTTTAGTAACATGAACATCCAGAAGAAAAATGATATATATATGGTAAGCTTCGGTTAGAGAGCTGATGTGGCATAATTTTTAGAATTTAGTGACACACTGAGCAATAAAGTCTAGAAATGGCAAAACTTTTAGAATTTAGAACAGGCACTGTAAGCAGAATTTAGAAAGGCACCAGGCAGCAGAAGTTAAGATCCACAGAGACTGCATCAGATTGGAAAATGCCTAGTGCAGCCTGTGTATGATGCATTAAGACATACTAGATGAATCTTTTAAATTGTCAGTTTTCAATATCTTTATTAATATAAGAATTCCTTTCTATAATGCCTGTCCATATGATAAAATTAGAAGCATTTTTGATATTTTTCATGTTTGTGTCTAGTGAAAAGTAGAGAAAATAAAGGGAAGATTAAAATAAGATCAAGATTCTAGTATCCAAAGTAAAACATTCAACTATAATAATTTCATTGTTCTTTCAGACATTCTCCAAAAGGTAAGAAATTACGTGTTAATACTATGGAGACATTTTTCATTTTGTCACATTTTTCTGGAATCTTCTAGAATCGTGGGTCTATAAATCTTGCTTTCAAATCTTTCTAAACTTTTCAAGCTGCAATATCCAAAATTCTAAAAAAAAATTACTCTTATCACTTCTGTAACAGCATTATTCTGTAACAGAAATATTTTGAAAAAAAAAAAAAAAAAAATCAGAGGAAAAAAGGTGTAAAATTAATTTTATACAGAAAAAACAGGGCTTATTTTCTAAAATTAGATGTGCTGGAGCCCCGTGGTACACCGTCAGGAAAGAGGTACAAAAATAAATAAATAAAAATGGCTAATAAAATCACTAATAATTAAAAAAAATAAATATTAATTATTAAAATAATTCAATAATTAATGCTTAGAGAAATTAAAAATATGAAAGAGATAAATTAAAATTTAATAAGCGATTTTTAATATAAATTTTATTACTAAAAATAAAATTTTCAATATCAAATTTTCTATTGAAATTTTGTTCAGGTAGAAAAAAGAAATGTCACAGCTTTTCTTATTTAGGGCTCCGGGGTAGAATTATTATGATATATCCCCAAAACTAAGAAGTACCGGAGCAGGGCTCGGGCACAATTTAAGTTCTTGAGAAAACTAATGTATATTTTGAGAATTCTGAAAATTCTGAGACAATTACATGGGGAAAACTCTTACCATGAAAATATTAAAAATACAATTTTAATTAATTACATAGCTAGTTTGCTTTTACTAAGAACTGTTTCGTAAATGGTGCTTTATAGCCTTATACCTTGCTTATTTTCCACATATAATAAATGGCCAAAATGGAACTTTATAATATCACAGCAAAAAATAAAAATACTTTAATTTAATCTATCTCCAAATATAATTCAAAAATATTACCATTATTTAAATGAAATTTATCAGTGTTACAATGTTTTAAAAAAAAAAACGTCGAAAAATTCCTAGATCTCGGATTTAAAAATTTTCTATAGAAACAGATCTTAAAATCATCAAAATGTTGATAACTCGCCAAATTTGGAACGGTTTAATTAAAGAATTCACATTCCAAAAAGCGAAAAGTTGTTTCAGAGGTCTTCATTAGAAAAAACGAAATAATTTCGAAATGCTTATGTTTCACTCTTTGCTCAGAAACTCGAGTATCCCACCATTTATATTAGAAATAGGAACAAATTATATCCCATGAACCCATTCAAAAGATAACCATATTTGTCGCAAATCGCCAAAAATATTACTCCAAAATGTTAATTCACACTCAAAATGGCAGTCGTAAAAACAGACAGAAATTTCAGATTATTAAAATTAAGGACCTTCTGACGATTTTGGCCGAAATTAAGCACTTTTAAGGACTAATAATCGATTCCAACAAACTTAAGGACTCTTTAAGGACCGTACGAACTCTATATATGGAGGGTGGGGCAAAAGATCCCATTCAAGTCCGTACAGTGAACAGCTGGTGAATGCAGACACATGCGATTCTTCCAATACCTTTTTGCGCTGGAGCTCACTTCGATGTTTTTCCTTTACAGCAGCATCAACACAGACTAGCATCTCGCTGTACACCTTACAGTCGAGGGTTTTACCTTTTCCCAGATACTCTTTATGGATAATAATAAACCAATCCCACCAGATACAAAGCATGATCTTTTTGTCAGTCAAATTGTGCTTTGCAATGTTGCCAACGGGCTCACCGAGAGCAGACTCACGTTTTTAGTTTGTGTTGTTGAAGTAAATCCACTTTTCATCACAAGAGATGATCTGGTCCAGAATTTATCCTTGCATTTATATTCGAGCAGATTAGTGTAGGCCCGACCACATCTGTCACCTGCTTGAGTCAGCTCATGTGGCACCCAGCGGCTGAGCTTATATGTCAAGTTTATGCAATGCATTGTGACTAATGGACATGGCACTAAAGCCTAACTCCTTAGCAAGCTGTCGAGTGGTTGCATACTGATCTTCTTCCACAAGTTCTTGGAGGCAGACCTCATCAACATCAGAAGGATGTTAAAGAACTATGACATTAAGAGCACTCTGCTTCTTAATGTCATAGTTCTTGTTTTTGATCTTTCAGTATCAAACCTTCACAGTGTCATAATATGATATAAACATTAGTTTGTAAAGCTGTATACATGATTTGGTGAGATTCTGTATCTGACTCTTTGCAACAGAACAAGTAAATGATGGTTCTAATCTGGTAGCATAATAGTTCCATTTGAGACACCGTATACTCAATTATAAGGATATTTTTTTTAGAAATTTCACAGCAAAGTGTTCTAAAGGAAGTCTCTTTCTTTCAAATGCCAAAAAATTATTTAACAAAAAATGATTAAACACTCTAACGTGAACTGTTTGTGCAGACGATATTTTCGGTGGCAGGAAACTTTCATTAAAACTTGATATATATATATGTATATCAAGGAGCTTGAATTACATGCATACATGCATCTAACTAAGTAGTTGTAATTAACTCCTACCTCATTTTTAATGTATATTCATATATATGCATTAACAGTGGTTGATGGTTGACAAATACGATGTGCTGCTGTTAAGAGTCAGGAGGTTATGTAATGGTTTTGGGAGGCCCTGTTTTCTGAAGGCGCAGATACCGTTTTCTGAGATTGCATGCCTATTGTGTTAGGATGGAAAGGAGGCATAACCGATTACATATTTTGAGCGTCGTGGTGCCAAGAATAGCCAATCCATTGTGACTTCGAAAAAGAATTCTTATGCACACTAACCACCTTCGCCGTTATCACATGCATTCTGCGATTACTGCAATGCCAACTGTTTAATTATTTGTTTAAGGTGTGATCTGGGTGCTGGGAGTTGATATCGGAAAGTTTCCACATTATTAAAAGCTTCCTTGGCAAGTCAGTCGGCAAGTCCGCTTTCTGTTTGCCCTACCTGTGCTTTTGTCTAGAACAGGGGTTCTCATCCAGTGGTACGTGTACCACTGGTGGTATGTAAGAGAAAAATAGGTGATACACAAAGAAGTAAAGTATTTTTAACTATTCAATTCAAAAATTAAAACCCCAACTTCCTGATTGAGGTTTTTTTCTAACACTCGTAAATTTATGCAATTTGAGCTTTATTTAAGAGTGATGGTGATAGGAGTACTATGTAGTGGTGGTACTAAAGGTTTTCAGTTTTTGCTTAGATGGTACGCATTAGTCAAAAGGCTGAAAACTGCTGGTCTACAATAATTTGATCTTCAGTCTCAAATTATTTCTTAGAAGCCTTTGTATGTTTATAGTTACTTGTAATGTATGACACAGATTATTCATGGCATCAGAGAGGTTACCTCTAATTATTACATTGTTCAGGTTTTTGTTTATAGCGTAGGTGATGGCTTTTTCGAATGCTAGTACTTCAGCTTGAATTTTTTCAGGTGGATCCTCTTCGATTTATTCATGGCCTTTCCAATGTTGGATTGCCTTCAGTTTATTCATAGGTACAAATGCACTTCCAACACCTATGTCAGTTTTAGAACCTTTGTATAAATAGCCGTGACTAGATCCATATTAGTTTTACATGCAAATTTATAGATTTCTGTGCTTTCTGGATCTTAAGTCTTCGGATTTTAAGATATATTTTTTTTTATTTAATGTCTTGACTCAAGTGCTGGACATTGGAGATGCATGATGTCAACAGTCGAGCTTTCTAGTGCTGCCACCGTATGCTTTCAGATGCATCAATTCAAACAATGATGCATCAGTGCCCATAACATGATTCACTTTTTCTTCAGTTCATCTTCTCCAGATGCTTTATACAGTGAAGGCATGTTGGTACATTTCAAACAAAGTACAACTAAAGATTAACTAACCTTCCTCAGTGGCATAACTAGAATTTTTGCCACCCCTCTTCATACACAAATAAATTACTACAAAGACGTGTAAGGAAATAAATTCAAACTATGTTTATTTCTGAAGAAAAACTTTAATTCTGGCAAATTAAAATTATATTATTATTTTGTTTATTTTCCTCTTTGCAAAGCCCTCAATGTCATTTTAGTGGTCTGCTACACTGCTATTATTATGTAGGCAATATAGAAAGATTTCTTAAATGCAAAATATACATTTGTAGTTTTTAAATATTTCTTAAATATTGACATATTCTTTAAGCATAAATATTTTATTAAATATTATTTATATCATTTACTTAAAAACTATTAAAATACTTAATTTATCTGGAATTGTTTTATGTTCCATTCATGAGAACTTTTTAACTATTTATCATAATTAAAATATTTTGCCTTCTTAGTTTTTTAACAATCTAGTTAAAAGCCTAATAAATGGACAGTCATAAAAACGAGTAATTATATAAATCTAGCTGATAAATGCTCTGGAAATACAGTTTTTCGCGTTCCAAAAGTAGCTGTTTGGTTGAGTTTATAGGGAACACAACTGCAACTAAAATTACAATTAATTTATTACACTATAAATTTTAGAAATTAAGCTTTTGTCCAATAAGGAAATCGATTATCTTCTTGGGGATATACAGAATGTGGTCTGAGATCTCTGTATTTTCCTAGTCGAAGTCTTTCTTTTAATTTATCCTGTCTTTGCCATGAGAATTTATAATCATCAGGCTTGTGAAGACAGGGGTATTTCGGCACAGTCTCTTCTTTGAAAGGATGGATACTTTTCAGACGCTTTAGAAGCACCTCTTTTTTTATTTCTTTGGGGTCTCTGTAGCGGTCTAGATACCTACAAGAAAACAAAAGTTATCACTTTTATCATCAATTCAGATATTAAATCACTTGTTTAAATAGATTTAGATACACGATTTAAGCTCATGCAGATTATTTGTATAGAATAATTAGACCTATTAACTATTCCACTATTTCACAAATGATATGAAATATTTTTCTGTTGATTTTTTTTAACCTTCTACCACCGTTATGACAATAAAATAAATTTTACAAAATTACATAGCAAGCAATATGCAGAGAAAAGAAGGTTACTTCTCTTTTGCAATACTGTAATTATTAAAATACTGCAATATTTGCTGTTCTCACACATTTTGCAATACTGCAATATTTGCTGTTCTCACACATTTTCCCCCTTAATTTTCTCTATCATTACATGCATGATAATGAGATAATGATGAATCACTGACTCTCAAAACAGAATCCCATTTTAATATCAGTCCTACTTTTATTGTCTGATACTGAACCTTCTTTTCACTTCTTACATATGAAATCAACTGCCTTTTTAAATTTTACAGCACCAAATATATGTATACAATAAAGAGTCCAATGGTCAATCAATACATGGACCTTTGAACCACCAGTATTTTTTTTTTTTTTTTTTCAAAACATAACCTAGAAATGGAGACTAGAATACCAAAACGAAAAAGAAAAGAAGCAGATATGCCCTAATTTTTTCTATCAACTAACAGTGATTTCTATATGTCACTTTCAAACAGCTGCTGACTAAGGAATTGCACTGTGGCCAATGACAATACACTGATGTTAGCCACGACCATGTTCAGGGAGGTTAAATTTTTTTTTTATCTAACCTAAGCAATAAATGAAGCCCCAAGACACATTTGCTTGTAGCAGGGTGTTTGTTGTTCACACTGGTTTTCTTTTGCTGGCACAGCAACAAGGATGGAAGGAAAAATTAGATTCCAAGTAACTTAACTTTTGTTAATATAACAAACTGTGCTCTCCCTTAACTTTTTAATTTGATCTAGTTTATTACTTTCTGTAGCTTATTATTATTACAGCTATCATATTAAAATTAAACTTTGAATTTTCTATTAGGCCAAAAAGAATTAAAATGGAAGTGCAGGAGGATCTGCAATGAGGAAAAATATCTGCCTTTCATAGCAGTCTTGGCGAAAGAAAACAGTGTTGGTGCAATTTGAGCTTCAGGAAGTGGGATTTTTAAAATTAGGTAAAACAACATTATTTTAAACTCAGATTTTGAATGTGGTTTTAATGTGAAATTTAAGTTTTGTGGTTTTACAAATAATACCACATTTTCTTCTAATTATTTTGTTACTGCTGATAAGCAGTTATCTTGATTGAAGCAGTTATTTGAATATAGTCTTTTCAGCTCATGTTGCTTAATTTTTGCATGCAGTGTTGTGTATTCCCGCTCCCAATGCAGTGCTAAGAATTAAAAATCCAGAAATTAATTTTCATCATGTTACACTCTTTTATTTTAAAAAAGAAAAAATGCCAGCTGGACTACTTGTAAATTACGTGCAACATATAGGAAATGTGGTTTCTGTGACACATTTTGAAGGCAGTTTGAGAAGTTTTAAGTATAAAAATTTCAGCTTCGAAGAATTCCATTCTGGATGAACGTCCAGTGTAAAAAAGAAGCTTTTGCTGAAAATCCATGTTATACAGTTGAGAAACTATCAGACATTCTAATAAATATTCTAAATATTTCAAAAAGTACACTACATGATCGTTTGAAGAACATGTGGTATGTAAGTTGCTATGATGCTTGGCTACCCTATTCACAGATGTTAAACATAAGTTAATAAATAATAGAAATTTTGTTTTGGTGTAGGTTTAATGAATACAAAATACAGATATTATTTATAATTTTTTGGACCACAGACAGACTCCAGGGGCAAAATGTCAGGCAAAAGTTTATTGTGTCACCTCTCATATTCACCAGACCTTGCTCTGTTGGAATTTCATCTCTTCAGGTCACTTTAAAATTCCCTGAACAGTCTGAAGTTCACTTTTCTAAACAGCATCAAACAGTCCCTCGATAACTTCTTTGCAAATAGAAGACTAACAACTTTTTTTATAAAAGAAATTTTCTATCTGCCAGAGAGATGACAAAAAGTGATGGAACAAAATAGTGCTTATATGTTTCAATGAAATTTACTTATATTTTTCGCATTGCTTCGTTCATATTTATCATAAATAAAACTGCAGATTTTTCCAGATGATACAATATTTCCTTCTGATTTTTTTTATCCCTTAATTATATAATAACTATTGTTGTGTGGTTTCAGTACATAAAAGTAAGCTGAAATCGGAAGCATATGCATTCGTCAACAATTACATGAAAAATTTTTATGCATGAATTATAAATAATTATTTTAAAACATATTAAATAAGCTTTTTTTTAATCCATAAGCAGTCTTTTTTGGAAATAATAAATTAAGCGATATGAGTCAATGCACATTGCAGAGGAACTATTGTTTGAAAGAGAAAAATTATTTTAAAAAAAGCTATTAACTTTTTAGGCTTTTGCATAAGAATTTGTTTTTTCACGCAATTAACCAACATACTGGGAACAACATACTCAGATCAAATCTAACTTTTAAGCAATTGAATTAATTCGATAGAGAAGAAATGGACTATACGTTACATTTTATTTTACCTGAGCTTCATACATTCCAATCCTCAGATCTATAGAATTTTCAGAAAGCTTTTGAATTCTAAACATCGAATCTTTGGGCGTTTTCAATTATTCAAACCTAATCTAAGAAATCATCAAATATTTTAACCCAAATCTTTGGTAGTAACTAGTTTTACTAATGCCCAATGTAGAATTATATCTGAATCATCAGTATCACTCATAAAAGCTCTGAGTGCTGCATTATTTCAGTATAGCATCCAGCAAAATCTGCCAGAAATTTTTAGTAATCAGTATACTGTGCATCGTTAAATTTTTCGATTCTATATCTTGAATCATTCTGATAATTCTGGATACAGCTAACCTATTGTTGATAAATCTAGCATTTTATGCTGGGTTATATACAAGCTTCATTAAGCACATATTCCAACTGCTACCACTTGAACTCTTCAGCTATGCTGAATTTTCAGCTGTTTTTCAAATACAAGCTAAATCAAAACTAATGATACAGAAAGAAAACTAGCTATGACTACCATAATGAATTAACTTCACAAATGCAGATATAACATGAATGTATAACTCTCCAGATTTCTATGGATACACACAGATGTTCAATGTGGAGGCCTTTTGTGATGCAGTACACATCTAAACAATAGTTTAGCTCCTGATTTTTTTACCAAATAGGTGTAATGGATACACTTTATTTTAACTGTTAAATATTGGATCCATGATGGCTGTCACACAGCTTACCGTCTTAAATTTCTACAGAGTTCGTACACATTTCCTTACATGAAAATTAAGGACTTTTAAGGACCATCAAAGAAAAATTTAAGGACCTATCAGCAAACAAAAAAATGAATGGAATAAAGCAATTATCCATACAACCGACTTCATGCTTGTAATTTCACTTTAAGAAACTAACAGAAGTGTGTATTATGCACAATTATTAAATTCAATTTAATACTTACCATAAAACAATTTTGAAAAATTAAACTAACTCCCTACAAGTTATGAAGTAGATAACATTAAATTAGGAACATAATGTCTTGAAAAACATGTATAAGTGTATTTTACACTAATAACAGTCCCTATTTTAGAGATTTACATGATTATTATTTAACTTATTAGATATTTATTTAAACACATTCAACTACTATTATAATCACAATGTAAGAAATTTTTGCAGATTAAAATAACTGATTTGTAAACATACAATTTATTTCCTTGGTTTTTTGAAAGATACTAGAATAAAACTGTACAATAAAAGATACAAAACATTTGTGCTTTTTTTTAAATCTGAAATCTCTTCAGCTATTTTAACATCTAATTTATTTATGTCTATTTCCTTTTCTTTCTTTAACTATTCTTCTAAGTTCATTTGCTTTGATAAACAAATCAATGTTCCTGCTGGTCTCAGCTTCATCTGCTAAAGCATCTACTTCTTCATTAATATCTTTAATGTCCCTTTGAAGAAATTTTTTCTTCTGCTTCATATAATCAATTTCTTCCTCAATAATATTTCTTTTCCTTTTTGAAGTTTCAGATTTAGTTAAAGATTTTTGTTCTTCTAAATACTGAACATTCTTCTAAATACTGAACTTCTAAATAACGAACTCCACTTCTTGCAGAAGCTGCTGCTGATCTCATTTCTTTATTAATTTCGATATTAAGAACACCTCCAGAAAATTTTATGCAATCAAATACTGTGCGTTGAAAAATGTATGATGAGTCACTTAAATTTTCAATTTCAATTGCTTTATTTACAGAGAAGCCCCTTTCCACAGAGGCCTGTTCATGTGACAAGATAAGAATACTTGTCACAGTGAATACTTGAATAGTGAAAATATACATTTTTTACTATATATATATATATATATATATATATATATATATATAATTTATTTCCTAAACAATATTGATTAATTGATTATATTATCTCCTAAGTTTAATTAAAGTAGAATTATTTTAAAAGAGTGAATCCATACTGGTAAGTTATATTTTGAAAGATGTATCTGGAATGATCTAAAATCCGGACCTCAAAGCCACCACCAACCAATTTTTTAGGGCTTTTTTGAAGGGAAGGGATATGCTTTACACACGCGTATTAGATTTTTTCCTCATCATAAAAAAAACATGTCGGAAATCCCGATTCTTAATCTCAGTTTGGCGCTAAATAAAATATCTCATTATTGAAGAAATAATTATTTTACCATAAATTTGTGATTAGTAACTTGACTCCATAGCTGCGTATCTCCTTGGCATAATCTCAAACCGAAACATTTGTTTATTTTACACCAACTAATATTTTATATCCTTGATGCCGAAATCGCGAATCATTATTTATTGTATTTTGCTTTCATCAACGCATGTTTATCAACGGATGACAACTTGAGTGATGAATCATGCAGTGACGCCAAATAACAGAGTATTATCTGATTACAGATTTAAGTTTAATGCGCTAAAATTTGTACTGTGTAAATACCCAATAACTTTACTAATTCATGAAAGTTAATTTTGCGTCTAGTTAATTCAGGAAAATTAGTTTCAATTAGTTGTTTTCAGCTTTAAAAATATTTAAAATTTTTAATTAGTTAGTTATTTTCAACTAATAATTGTATCGCCATTAGCAAAAATTATGCGTAACTATCAACAACATAGGTTTAAACCAAATACTTAATTGTCTACTGAAGCTTCAAAACGTATTTCCGAACCTCACTTTTTCTCGGCTAGCGTTACCGAATTTGCCCTTGGCGACCTAAAATCGAAATGGAGCCAACAGATTTCCCGCAAAATCGATAACAGACTCTCTGCAGAAATAAACTCATAATCCCGATATCCCATACATATTACTATATGTGCAAAAGAGAATAAACTCCATAGAAGGTGATAAAAAATTAATTTATGGCTTAATTGAAACAAACACAGAAATTAAGCTAAGCAAAACCATGTAAAAACAAATTGAAATGATAAAACGAAACTTAATTTTCATGTGAATTTTTGAGCTCTGACTCTTCCATTCTAGAAATTTCAATTTGTTTCAGACAAAGACCACATTTAGCTTTAAAAGCTTTGTCATCCATCAATATCCAGTCTTTGTAGTCAGCTTGATGAAGGCCACAGCTTATTGAAAATGCACTTTCCAGGCATCTCGTTCCTATTGGCGTCGGAAGGGTTGTGGGCTTCCAGGTTGGGAATTGCTCTAATTTTGGCAAATATTTTCAGAATCCCCCCCCCCCCCCCCTTTTTTTTTCTCGAGCACCTTCATCATCACTTTCGCCTCTTAAAGAACTTCTGGCTTCACGCTTTCGTCACAATCTGCCTAAATTTATGGATAACACCTGTTTCAAAAGATTGGGTGAATAGCCAATCAGACCCCGATACTTTCGTTCTAGGCTAGGCTAATTGTTTTTTTTTAATCGTTTGCAACGCAAATCCGCCAACAGATTGGTTAAGAGTCGTGTAATTTTAATTTCCATATTCATGAGAAATTCGCAATTCACACTTAGAATGGCAATCATTAAATGATAAGAGATGTCAAATGAGCAAAATTAAGGACTTTTAAGGACCAAAAATCATTTTTGAAAAAATTAAGGACTTTTAAGGACCGTACGAACCCTGTTTCTAAGTAAACTCAAAAGAAAGTTTAAAATCAATACTTTTCTATTTTATTGTCAACCTAACAGTTAAACAACCTATGTACAGAAAATAAATCTGAAATGGAGTCTGTAGGAATATGAGAATACTGTGACTTTAGAAATCGAAACATCAGACTTAAAAATTAAACCTTTATGGGCTGGACTCCAACAAAATTTCACATTATTGCATGAAATTTGTGGATCAAAATACTTTTCATTGGGCTACTTAAGCTTCCGTGAAAGATGTGTCAGAGATACTTGATGATTGAAAATAAAGAAGGGGAGAAAAAGTTTAGCAAGTGCAAAACGCCTAACGCCAGCTCTAAACTAGTGCGATATTTGTATCGAGCTAGAAAGAAAGAAGTTCATCAAATAATATGTAAGAAAATATCACAAGCTAAAGTGATTTCACCAGAATAAGTATGCTGTATTTTGACTGAAACTTTGTAAAGTTAAGATGTTTGTGTTTACTTAATACCCCATTGCTTGAGGTAACATAACTCATATGAAGATTTGACGATGAAGTGAAGATTTCTACCTCGAATTACAGCAACTGATAAAATCGCAATTGAAAATCTTGACCATAATCGAAATTGCTGTCAATCCACTGATTCTCTTAACAGAGATCCCAAATATAAATTATGATCTCTGCTTAAGATTACCATGGAATTATTATGAAAGATAAGATTTTCATGTAGGAAAAGTATTCATTGCAGGATATTACTCTGAATAATTGTGAGAATTGTGAAGGAATTTTATAAAATATGCCTGACTTGCTTAGGGGTGGGGAATAAGGACACCCTGAGAAAATTCAGACAAGTCTCCTACTAAAGTACAATCAGGAAGATTCACCTCACCAACCATAAAGTCCTTGGATTTAAAATTCTTCCTTAAACTGAAAGAGTTCTGTGTAGACTGTAGGGTAAAAGAGGTTTCTTCAGCAGTTACTCAAGCCATTCAAGGGTTAAAAAGTGTTACTCTACAATTAAGTAAAAAAAAAAAAAAAAAGTATTACTCTACAATGAACAGCAAATTTTCCATGGAAATTCCAAAGGATTGCAACTTCTGTGAAGAAAACGATCACAGAGAAGGAATGAAGATCACACAGAAACAACCTGAAATTGAATTAGCCCGAGAGAAAAAACATTAGAGAGCATTACTTTTTAGATTAACTTCATATTTGTACATTATGTACTACTCTGATAGCCATTATCTGGTCAAAAAGAAACATGGCTGGAACAATGATTGCCAGAAATGGAATTATTTGTTATTTTATTTGTTACTTTGAAGACACGTTTATCGTGTAGAGTTTGAAATGAATTAAATTATTACATTCTTAATACAATTTAAGAAACTAAATTATTACTTTCTTAATACTATTTAAGAAATTAAATTATTACTTTCTTAATAAAATTTAAGAAATTAAATTAGCAGTTAATAAAAAAAACATGTTTTTGCACAACTTCTATTTCACATTTCACTCGTATTTCGAAAATTAAACTACCATTTATTGCAAACAAGTCATGTTTCAAAGGGCGAAGGGCTGCAAGTAGCTCATGAGCAGCAGTTAAAGTATAATTTGGTCATGCCTACTACAGAAGGTGAAATTGTTCAAGTAATTGAAACTGTGAAGAAATATGAAGTGATAGTAAATGAAGATAGAAAAGATGTTTTTCATTCTGATGATTATGCCCAAATCAGCAATAATTAAACAGATCATGAAATTTGGCATATGGTTTTAAAACCATGAAATATTGCTACCAACTGTGAAGAAACTGATAAAAAGGTTAATGAGAATGAAAAGAGTTTAACTGACAATTCAGCGTAAATTATAATTACCATTTATTTCCAAATATAAGCTGAAAGATCAGATTTTGCTCCAAAAATTCTATTAAAATTGAAAGTACCAAATTTAAAATCACTCTATAATTTCATAATCATTGATCCACTTTTAGGAATTCCTCTTCCTATTTTTGAATTTTTCTACTGTTTTCAGAAAATTGCTGGTTTGAAAACAATTAGTTGATGTTTTCTATTGGGAAAATTTGGGATTTTACTGGTTTTAATTTTATTTTTTCATGTATTTGTGCTTTAGGTTCTAAATTTCTTACTTTTTTTTTTTTCCTCTCTCTCCATATATATATATATATATATATATGTAAGAAAATATAGAGTATATAAAAGATTTAATTAGCAGCGTAATTAATTTCCCTTATCTATTCTAAAAATAGCATCTTCTATTTGCACTGTGTCATTTCGAGAAAAATATGTCATATGATTCTTACGTAATTCTAGTGATGTAAATTGAACTAAAACTCAAACAGCCAATAATAATTTTACAGCAATATTAATTATCCAATCAAAATGCTTTGAGAACCAAAACTAACTCAGTCTGACTTGAAATTTCATCCTGAAAATAACATACTTGCTTTCTACTCTTTGGCCTAGCTATACTGTAGTCTGTCTGCTGCGCCTCAAATTTTTTAGTCATCATGGTTCAACATCTCTACGAAATCAAAATTTCTGCTCCTCAATATATTACATATATATATATACAAACACACACTACACATATTGCCAAAAGTGTAAATAAATGGCTATCTAAACTTAACTCATTAGATGAACTGAAAGTGAATGCCAAATTTACTATCAACTCCCACTTGAAAAACAGGAAAATAGGAGTACTTAAAAGTGGGCACAGCCCTGTCCACCTTATCATCTGAAGAATGGTCTTTGTACTAAACATGGTGTGAGAATTGTTAAAAAAAAAAATGTGAAAGCCTTCAGATTTTATATTACGTCCAAGTGGTTAAGCTACTATAGTTTTGTGACTAAACTATTTGTAAATAATGTTGAACTAATATATAAGCTAACCTCTAAATTTCAGGGGAAAAAAAAAAAATTACTGAAAAGTATTGGCTTATATACAGAATAAAATTTTATATGTAAACTATTATTTACATACAATACTATGTGCAATAATTATATATAAATGATAATTTACGTATAACTGTCTCACTCATAATTAGATGTTCCCGCAAATAAACATATGCCAAAAACAAAACTGTATACTTACAAATTAAATGGCTGTAAGTGCGGATAATGCTCTTGAGGTTTTATATAAAGAGGTGGCTCCATATACTCAAATACAGGCTCTCTCATATCTGCAAATATAAAACATATAAACATCACTCTTATTTAAAGAAGTCGCATATATTAAAAAAATATATCACGTAACCTTTGCAACATAATAATTCCACATGCTTCTTACTGATAACTCAATACAGTAATCAAACACTAAATCTCTATCTTTAAAAAATTCCCATCACATAATAGTCATCAAGGGAAAGGAAAAGTTTGTTTCTTTGTACCTGTTAAAGTGTGTACTGATGGTTCATCAACTAAGTTATGAAAAACATTCATATGCTGAAATATAAAAAGAGGAGATAATTCAGTTATTTTCACCACAACTATACTAAACTACAACCATGAATTATGTTGATAACCTTGAAGAATAATAGCTGTCACTAAAGATTTACGGTTTTCCTTTTTTATTCCAATGAAGGATAACAGATAATACATTTTATTACGTCTAGGAAATATTTCATAGAAGAACAATGAATACAGGAAAAAACTGAAGGGCGTTGGAAAAATTCCTCATTTAAAAACTGCTATGTCTATTCTTAAAGTCATTCAAAATACAAAGAAACTATCTGTAAAAGAAAGTAACATCTCATTATATATTAATAATCAATCACAATTTTTATTAGGTAAGATTCGATACATTGCATTTATGCTGTATAATCTGTATTAATAGGCTTGACATGTATAGGTTAAAAAATTTTAGATAGCTAATGAGCTGTCATTTGTGTGACATACTAAGTTCTTACATTATTTGGCAGACATCCTTTTAAAAACATGAACTCTAAATGAACCATAATAAGGTCACAAAGGTTAAGTTAGTATTCTCAAACCAATTAATTCAAAAATTGGATTTCTGCTCGCGGGTCCTTATACTGCATCATCACACTTTTTTGGCAAATTTTTACTTTAAGAAAGATACCTAAATCTAAAAAAGCAATACAATTTCTGCTTTCATTTACAGTAAATTCTTTAAATTATACTTACTTCTGTTCATCAATATTAAATACTTGCAAAACTGATCAGCTAAATAAGCATACATAAAGTAATAGAAAAAGGTAAGAAACAGAAGTAAATGCAAATGGTGATATGGATGTCTCTTTATCAAAAGAAGTCACTATGAAAATGTGACCAGAGAATTTTTGCACTATGCCGCATATAAATTTTTACTTATTGAAATGTGTCAGACATCTACCATTACATTCAAAATTATAGGCATAAATACACTTCAGAGGAAAATTTCATATCACGTAAGATTACTTACTTAAAACATTATGGAAAAAATCAGTAAGTGTTTCATCCCAAGTACACTGAAAAAAAGCTAATCCTGCAGGTGTTAAAACATCTTGATAGTCCTTGTAAAAATTGAATGTCTTAAACGTTCGTTCTTTGAGACTTAAACTAAAGGAAGACAAAGTTTCAGAAAACTTAAAAGCGAAACAATAAATTGATCTTTTATAAGTTTTATATGTACAGATCAATAAGATTTTTAAATAGGAGATAAGAAAGCAAAATGAAGATAAATATTACATATTTAGGATATATTATAATGTTTAAAAATTATGCAATGACTTGGCTAGAAACAAACAAAAATGCAAAATCTTAAAACATTACCTGGTACTTATGTATTAATGATAACACTGTGCTGCAGTCTGGCAGCTTTTTACATATGAAAATGTACGCATTATTTATCAGATGTAAGTTGGGGATTTTTGATAGTTTTTTTTAATACCCAAACAATCTATATTTATTGTAAACAGACAAACACTGTCAAGATATCAAAAGAATAAACATTTAAAAAAAAATTTTTAATTATTGAATAAAGATTATATGATATATTAAAAAATAAAGTACTTAAATTTTTAGCAAAGTACTTCTCTATGATTTTAGTATTGTTCTTCTCATATACACAGTGATCTGTTTTTGCTAAAAAAAAAATCTGACAATTGCACAAACTGTGCACTGGGTACCTAACCAAACTCATTATCATTGTTGACTTTAGAAATTTTGCCACAAAATGTATTCCAGCTGAACTTTTACTGCAATGTTTTTCATTGCTGGCAAATTTCACAGGCGATATTTTGTACGGTTATTTTTTTATTTTAACCAGTTATTTATAATTTCAGCCTTTAATATCACTTCTTTTTTCCATTTCTCTACCAAAATGCAAATTAGTTTGAGAGTATTTAAGCTGAGATTTTTTGATTTTAAGACAGAGCATGTTTTAGTCTCTTGAGCCCAAGTTAACTAGGTTTTGGGTAGCTCTGATAAGACTGCAATTCTTTGCCGTCGCATTATAGCTGCCAATATTTAAATTTACCCTGGTCAAAAGTTTTGAGTCAACTTCACGTCAAATCAGTTGTGTAGTCATTGACTACTAGGCTTAGTTTAAACTTTAATTTGACTTTTACTTTAAGTTATGTTGCTACAAGTGATGGTTAATTTGTAAGCATGAAATGCAAAGTTAATGTTCACATCCTGATTTCCTATAAAGGTGTGGCCAAAAACTTCCTAAGACTTTGCAGTTCTTTTCGGACATAACAATAATTCACTCTAAGTGTGTTAGGAGAGAACACCAAGTGGAATGCAAACAAACGATTTGTCTATAAAAACCATTGGAACTTTGGAATCCAGCAAAAAAGAATGTATACGAAAATGCGACGTTATTTGACTGAAGGACTGTTATGATCATGGTTTTCTAAAGAATGTTTATGTACATGGTTGTCAGAGTTTGGCTCATTCTAAAAATTTGGTGAATCCTACTAACATGGTTGCAATAATACTTAAGTACCCAATACCTATTTTATATTTTTTAATCAAAAAATCACATACAACAATAAGGACATTTGTACTTCAAAATGAAAATTTAATGCATGAAATTCTGTATTGTTTACATAGAGCTTTAAATAAATATATGACATATAAACAGGATGTCCTATAAGCAATGTTATAATTTAAGAGGAGTAGGTGATGCTATTGTGATATAAATGTTTACAACTTTTACTAAAATTTAAAGATCTTTGATATATTTTTTTCGAAGTCTTAAATACAAACTATGATACTGAAACTGTAATATTTTAAAATGGCATTCTTGCATTTAGATACAATGAATGAATGTAAAAATTTAATAATTACAAAAGTGTTATTATAGTGAAAACTGCATGTCGCTTATGTCATACATACAATAACTTAAATGCCTGTAACACAATTTAGTTCCCCAATATTAAAAAAAAATATATATTGAACACTGCTAATAAAAAAGCAGGAAGGAAGAATTTACATAAACACAGATATAGCTACTAGTTGGAACATAATGTTTGCATATAAAGCAAAATGTAAAAGTGCAAGAACAATGTTCACAATGATTAATTCAGATATGCAGTTACGTACCAAGGTGTTGTTTTCTTTAAAGAAGAGTAGTCAATTGTTTTATCTTGCTTATATAATACAAACACCAATCTGTGATAACCAGTACCTCTCATAGGAAATGGCTGTAAGTAGTCACAAATCACCTCACCAGATTGAAGTTCATTTCCTTTAATGTTGCCTCTGAAAGGAATAGAAATATGAAGTTACATAATTTTAATATACTTTATATCGTAAGGTATTGTCTCCCTCCTCACCATATACCATTAATATAACTGGAAACCACATTTAGAGAAAGTCCAGAATTTGAATTGTGGCAAGGACATGGGACGTTTTTTATGTTTCCAGTTTTCGACACACCTAATGGTCTCTACACTGGCATCAAAACTAAAAGACAGTGGATGATAATTTACTACTGCCAGTATTTGCTAACTGGGTCCCCTCACTGCAACTGCTCTTTAAGTGGAGGAGAGTGTAAAGTATCTTCTTCCTCAATACTGCACGCCTTCATAGCTGTAATTGAGAAGCACATCTGACCAGTAATCAGAAGGTCCATAGTTCAAATCCCAGAGCAAATTTTTCATGTTCCTTTTACTACAAACATAATGATCTCTGCAATACTACATATAGTAACCCTGTAATTCATAGTTTCTTGTTAAATAAAACACTAATACAATACAATTTAATCTGTATTAAATAATAGCCTTCCTAATATCTCAACTTACTTCTGTGTCATAGTTCATGACAAGAAATTTCGTAAAATTAGTAAATTTCTCTCGATAAATCTGAAAATCTGCTCCGGTACATTAAAAGATGACAAAACATAATTTAAATGAAGTATTGAAGAATGAACCATACATCTATCACAAACATTTTAAATCTCTTTGTGCCAAGTATAAAATGTTTTGTGTTACTAATAATTCATTAAAATTTTTCATTTATTTATCATATTAATAAGCAAACTACTATTCTGGATATGCATTCACAATGAAAAAGGCAATCTGAAATAATTTGTCTGCTGAAGGTACCAAATCAGACCATCTCTTGCACAATAAAACAGTTTCACAAGCTTGATCAAAATGTAGACTAATCAGGAAAAGGATGAAAAGTCAAATTTGAATGTTATCAAATCAAAGCTGAAGGTTTCAGAATTTCAACCAGGAAAACCAAAGAGACCACTCAACTACTCAATCCAACCAGACTCAAGAAACTCAGTAATTATAGGAAAATATATTTGTATTTACAAGAAACATTTCAACATACAATAAACTCACAACAGCCATAATGGAAAAATAAGGTCTTTGAATGCTTCTAGGTCCCACAGCACAGTAAAACATCAACAGCCCAATCCCTAACAGTTTGGAAAAGAAGGGTGCCAGCAGAAAGCATCCCACTTTTTTTTTTTTTTTTTTTTTTTTTTTTTTTTTTTTTTTTTTTTTAAACAAAGAATAAAAGTTAATAACTACCTCCCAGCAAGGTGTAATTAAAAGTGGAATCAGAACACTAGACAGTAATCTCAGAATACCTGAAATTGAAACTGCCTTCCTACATAACACGATAACAGTTCCAATGAGGTCAAAAAGAGTATCATATCTCCAAAGATTAATTAGAATAATCAGGAGGAATCTGCAATACTTTTTAAAAGAATGTGACCTAATTTCTTTTTAAGAATATTGTGAGATCAGTGAAGAGGGGAAGAATATCACTGTATTAAGACTATTGGCAAGTAACTTCTCCTGTTGGCTTAAGTTCAGGAAGATCAGCAGTCATATTGATCAAAAGCAGTCACTATCTCTTCCTCAAAATCGGCCATGATGAACAATGATGAATGACATCCTTTTTCTTCTTTTCTGAGTTATGGGCCATTTACTCTTCATTTCGCCCATGGATTGTTCTTTTCTGATACTTATTTAAGATATCTGTAATGTAAGGTTTTGAGCACAATAAGCAAATAATTTGAAAAACTTAAATATACATTATATAATACATACTATATATAAATAATTCATTAGTAAGTAAATTTATGATATAATATCTTCTCTAGATGTCTCATACAGAACATTTCCAACCAGATAAAGGCTTGTACAAAAACAACGCAAAACATTATCCTGGGGAAAAATCATATTTTAGAAGATATTTTGTTGTCACTTTAGAAACCAAAAACAGACTTTTCAACATTTTGTTCCAGCAAACAAAGCTAAAGATACTCCAGAATGCTGTTACCTACATTTTTCTAACTTTCTTCCAGCACAAGAATGGCCCCCTGACATCAACCTTGGACACTGAATATAATTCATCTTAAAGATGAGGGCTTGTGCTTTAGCATCTATAAAAACCTCCTTATGAAAAAAATTGGAAGAATTCCAATAATTACAGTAAGAAAATAATCCTTTTTGAAGGCCATCAGTTGGAATATTTAAATTAAGTCATATGGCTATACTGATATCATTATCACCTTGGATGCATTCTTCACTCTCACAAAGTACACATCACTAATTATGAAGGTGGGGAAAATGCTCATGAAAAATTCTACACGTATTTAAAAGGAATCTAAATTACATATTCAAAATGATGCAACTTGGTCCACCTGCATATTGTAACTATATAATTTGCTTAGCCATTATGTGCCACCTTTCAAATACTAGTACAAACATGCCAACTGAGTTTCATTTGCCTAGTACATTGACACCCTTGGAATATCACTTTCTCATCATTAGCAATGAGATATATTCCTTCAATGTAAATATTGAGTTATGCTCATCAGAAATTGGTTTAATTTTCAGTCACCATATATAAAACTACACAGTGTTATTCAATATTCACAAAGCAAAATATAAAATGCATAAGATGAAAATATGAATAAGAAAACTTACACAAACCAATGGAGATATTCTGCATTGGTATCCAACAAATGGCCGTCCAAATTAGTTAGAACTAGTGTCCATAAATCATCAGGATTACTTGAAAATGACACACTTGGTACCTTTTGAGTCTAAAATTAAATATAAATAAAATTAAACAGGAAGTAACTAAGCTTACATTGGAAATTTCATCTTTCAGTTTACTTTTAAATCTTAAAAAGTGAAAGCATAATAAGAAGATAAATGAATGCTCATAATATAAAAAAAAAAAAAAAAAACTTAAAAAGATATTAAGATAATTATTTTTATGAGACACAATATGAAAACATAAATTGCGAATTAAACAAATTGATTGAATAAATAAAAATAAATAAAAAAATAAATCACATAATGTGAAAATGCTTTGCACATTTTCCTTTCATATATTTACAGAACAACAAGATGAAAAAGTTAAGAGGACATTTTGCCAGTAGTTTCAATATTAATGATTAACATTTAGGGAAACAGAAGAAAAAGGCTAAAATAATTAATACAGTATACATCTCATAGCTTAATATCAGCAATACCATTTTATTTTACACCTATTTTTTTATTTAACATACTTTCAACTCGGCTCCTGAGGCAACATATATAGTTCCAGCTTTTCAATTTATATATACAACATAAACTTTTTAGTGCATGTTGACTTTTTATTTATCTTTACATGTATTTTTTGTTATTTGGTGCAATCTGAATACAATTCCATTTAAAATATTCACCTTAAAGTTTTAAAAAATTATATTATCAAATAGCAAAACTTAAGTTACCCTCTTTTCTACAATACAGCACAAATGCAGCTCACATAGAAATTAAATAAATAACTTCTAATCATATTCAATTTTAAATTTGTTACTCTATTTACAATTTTTACAGCAGAATATTAAATTACTCTTTTATATAGATAAAAACTACACACATTTTCGGGGGGGGGGGTGACTTAAAATTAGCATTTTGAAAATTTCAGATTAGTCTACTATCTCAGAAGAGATTTTACTCTAAAATAAATAGTAATATTACCAACTGCTGCCAAAGGATGAAGCTAAATTTTTACAGTTAAATCAAATTAGAACTCAAATCAAAGGAGGGATATTGATTCTAAAAGTTTTTTTATATGCTTCTGGATTTTTTTTTTTTTTTTTTGTAACATAAAATGCTGTAAATAAATAAATATCAAAATATTAAAAAACTACATTATCATTTCAAAAGAAAATTAAATTTCCCAAATTTTTTTTAAAGAATATACATAAAGGACTGCAATCTATATGTCATAAAAAGTGCAAGTATTTTCTAGTTAACAGAATGCTTGTTGAAATTATGCAGCAGAGTGGCACATGTTGTAACTGAATAATTAAAAGTCATGATTCATTCATGACAAAAGTATCATCCAAACTGAAAGACTTTGTTCAAAAAGCATTAAAATCAAACTTTATTTTACTTAAACAGTTTTGAAATGATATATCATTTCACAAGAAGAAAGGTTTTACAGAGCAGAAACTGGTTTGAAAGACCAGTCATTCTATTTCTGCTGCTTATTTATTTTACTTATTGCTGGCATTGAGAGCTCATATTGTTAGAATTCTGTCAATTGCAACTATGAACAAAACACTGCATCACTGTCAATAATAATAATTGCATGTATTTTTGTTTATTACTAATCTGATTTTGTTTTTAACAGTTTTTAAGATTTAATAAGGTAGCCTTTCTTTTCATGAAGCTGTATATATCTTTAAGGTTGCCATTTACACTGCATTTTACATTTAACACCAAATGATGTTCAACGAGCTTAAAAGTATCAAATTTCATCATTAGTATTAGAATTCTACATACAGATAAATCTTTACTATCAACCAGAATTAGTAATTTTGTACTCAAAATATTGTTAGAGATTTAGAAGTATATTTTATTTATAAAACTAATGATACAAAACAACACTTGTAAAATGCTCTTAGGAAGTACAAATAAATAATCTAAATGATTTGTTTTTTGACTGAACAATGCATTTTCATATTACAACCAGACCATGCAAAGTGGCAATAACTTTTTATCTATACAGTCAAAAGTCGTTAATCCGGACTCGTCGGGACTTCGGCGATTCCGGATTATCGATTTTTCCGGATTATAGATCATCAGTTTAAATCTCGTAAGATGGCATGCAGAAATGATAAAATTAAAAATATGAAACCGTAATTTATGAAATAAAGAACAATTATGATCTAAAGGGTATCAAAATTTGCAAAAAGAAAAAGCTTAATATTTATTTGTTTACTTTATTAAACATTTCTTTCAATGTAAGTTGTTGTTTGGTAAGGAATTATAAGCCAAATAAAATAAAAACATCTGCGCTGAAGATAAGGATAGTGCTGACAAATCAACTTCCAATTCATTACGAGCCCGCCGCCGAGCAGCGTGAAATTGATAAACAGATTTCGGATTTCAAAACATACTTTCGCTTTAGATCCTTTACATATTAACAAATATATATCGGAAATTCTATTTGATTATAATCGAAAGTTTAAGCTTACTTTTATAAAATTGCTCTTACAGTCTGCAAAAAATAATAAGCCGGATGCAATTCGAAAATTAAGGAACAACGCAATCATCAACATTAACTGAAATAGATAATTATTTAGCTTATACGTCCATTATACATAAAATGCGCGCGCGAAAATGTATTCTGCACTTGCGCACACTCATATGCGCAGTCGTAAAAGGTCTTACACGCACGCGTGAACGCCTCTGCGCATGTGTCAACGCGGCGCATGCGCAGAAAGTTTTTAGTTTTGATGTCCGGATTATAGATCATTCCGAATTATGGGTGTCCGAATTAACGACTTTTGACTGTATTTGTAATACTTAAGATGGATTAAGTCACAACAGTAAATTCTCCCAAATGTTAAAAGTAAAAAGAAAAATCACAACATAAAAAAATAGTTAAATTTTTAAGCACATAAATATTCAATAATGGAAATATGACCTTTAGTTGGAAGCTTTATAAAAGTTTTTGCATAGACTTTTAAATTCCTTTTAATATTTCATACACTAATTGACTAAGACATCAAGAGAAAAATACAAATGGCTTTGCTAATTTTTAACAACATTTAGGTATCAAAGGTTAGGTTGTGCTTTGATAAATAATTTATGGATTGCTGACTTTAATATTATAGCCAAACAAATATTTAGCTACAAGATGTTAAAATTAAAATTCATAATCAAAGCACAACCCTGTGCTATTAAAATAGCACATGATTCAGCAAGACTGCAGTGTTTGGAATACTAGTTCTCTATTGCTAATACAACAGCTGTCAATTTAGCAACTTGTTTCCTCTTATTAATAAGCATGTTATCAAAAGCAATCTTACATCACCCACTATATCTGCATTACAGACTCTTCATATTTTGATCAAGAATTTTTTTTTTTTTTTTTTTTTTTTTTTTTTTTTTTTTTTTGTGTGTGTGTGTGTGTGTATGAAATTTTGATGTAGGAAATAAGTTGAAATTTACAATTCATAAGGTTTACCCTTAAATTCTTTAAGAAAGGAGTTATGTATTATGAAAGTGTTTAAATAACTATAAGTTGAACTTTAGTTGCAGTAGTGACACTATTTTAAAATGGTACTGCAGTGAACAAATATGTCTAGAGAAGAAAGGACCTAAATTCGGAAAGATGGTATTATTCACATTACGAAATTCAAATATTTTTCTAAATATTTATGTATGATAATATCTTCAAGTACTAATGTACCTTGAATGTGTTATTATACTTGCTATCATTATTTCAGGTTACATTTTATGTCAGCATTTACATTTAGCAACAATTGTTACACTATTAATGAAAAAATACCAGTATTTTTAACTTTATTTAAGATAAGAATTAAAAATAGTACTCTTTTGCCATATGAGATTGGTAAATGCTAAAGAAACTTTTGATTTTCCTTTTAAGTAATAGTGAGAAGAAAAAAAAAAAAAAAAAAAAGAATATAGAAACAACAAAACTATGTAATTAATCAGAATGTAAAAATTCTTTATAATTTGGAGAGGTTCAAACTAGAATATCTTAACGTTCCTGACAAATACCAAAAAGAGATATCTGAAAGATGTAAAATAATAAACTGGTGCTTTTGTTGTAGTTGATACCACCGCAAAAGAAAATATGACCTGTGAAGACTCAGCAACCTCTATGTTATTCTTGATTCTTCTGGAAAAATGATTTCCCCCATCTCTCTTTTCTTGTTAATGTTGCCTATCTAAATGGTATGAAATAAGGGTCAGGATGGTTCCTTTTTTATTTAAATGTCAACTTAGACCAATTTAAGCAAACACATATCTGCATTGTGCAAATTTTATTGGTAAACCTTTTTCTATGCAAAGTCTTTAGGACAACATGTGTTCATCTCATGTAAACTTTTATTGCATTTTGTATCATGCATTTACTAGACTTGCTGCAAAATGAAGCAGACCTTTACTTTAAAGCAATTTTGCACTTCGTTAAAAATTGCTTTAAAGATTGATTTATTGATTAACATTGATTAATTATAATTCTCAATTGATTAATTATTAAATTCATTAAAAATCTTAATCGATTAAGATTTTTATCACTTTAAAATCTTAAGTTCATTTAAAGACCTTTAAAGTAAAGCACAAGTAGTTTTTGGCAATTTGGCTACATATGTTCTATTTCACATTCTTTTTCAAAAAAGACCACCTGCATTCCATACCTGATCAGAACTGTATCCTCCATCTTTAATAATTTGAACAGTCCCACAGTAATACTCTAGTAGCTGATTCATCTGAAAATGCAATTTCAAATTTAATTTTTCAAGAGCCCAAAAAAACCTTGCCATTCAACCTATACTTGGAAAAAATTCATACTTTCTGCTTAACTGAAATGATATGCTTGGTTCCTTTCTTTTAATCTGTCTATAAATTCTTAATGCTGTTTGCCTGATGGCATTTCCATCTAATGGTGCACATTTTTATGAGTTATCTTCTATATAATTTTTTCCTTGATAATATGTCTTGTATATGATGATGAATTAACACTTATGTTTATCTCAGAACATACCGACTTCTTAACTCCAGCTTTTCTTTTCTTAATAGCTTTATAAAAGCTTCATGTAAATAATATGCTTTCTTACAGATATAGCACCTTGTTAGGTCAGTCTAAAATTTAAATTTTAAGTTCCAAAGAAATCATTTATGTTTTCAATAAATGGTGAATTATGTAGCATTCTACAAGGGCTACAAAAAAAAATCTCAGTTTTATTAATAAAAAGGTATGAAAAATTTGCCAACTTACAATTTATTGACTTCTATCAAAATTAATGTATTTATAAGTGCACAAGTTTTCCTAAAGACTTTTTCACTTTGAAATAGGACTATATACTAAATGTCTTCTGAAGTCAATTTCATTTCCAAATTCACACAGCTTGGAAAAAAATTAATACACTGCGGGGAGGCTTTTCTGACTATTATGCAAGCTATTCATGAATATGTGTACTACTGTGGCATAAATGAAAACTGTTTTTCTTATAATTTCGGCAAAAAGAAAAATTCTTAGAAACTGGCTTGGCTTGCTTGTGTTAAATTAAAATGACACATGTAAATGGAGAATGAAACATTTATTTTGAATTCATATTAACTCAAATTTACACAAAAAAAAATTTTGACTAAAAATTTTGGATCAGAATCTGGTGTACTACTAATGTTGTCAATTTACTTAAAATTACACACAAATAACAGATTTGCATTGAAGTAATGTGTAAAAGTTTAATATCTTACTTCTGAAGCTTGTAATATATTGCCCATGTACACCGGACTCGCACTCTCTTCATCATAATCATACTGAATGTTTAGGGGAACACAAGGAGTAAAATAACCATGTTCATATAAATGTGAAAATATTCCATAATGATCAGCTATATTCTGCAGCTGAGTAATGCCATCACGTTTCTGCCAATCTTCCATAATTTCAGTTAGATCAGGTTTCACTGAAAATGAAATTTTTTATTACATTTTTAATATGTTTATGAAAGTCAAGTTTACATTTTTAATATGTTTATGAAAGTCAAGTTTCTCATGTATATGAACCACATACATGAGAAAGGAAAGAATTTATAAGACAAAGAACTGATCTGAATGAAATTAAAAATACTAACAGATGAGAAAATTAAGTGGAAATTTATTTTACACTATGCATGGCCAATTCACAGCCATTACAAGCTGTTGATATGATCACAGAGTATAACTGAAAAATTAATGTGCAGGCAAGTTGTGTTAAATCTGAAAATAACATTGATTAGATAGATAGTGATGGCTAATTAAAAAAACGTTTTAAAGAATGACAACATTGAAAATGAAATTGCGGCTATCTCACATTATGAGCATAAACTCACTATTTGGATTGAACACAATCGTATGAGCAACCAATAAATAAATAAATAAAAGAATATCAATTTTCATTTCATAAGATTTTTTAGAAAATGTTTATTTCAAACTATAGGCCAGTATTATATGCTAATCTATTTTTAATGGCCATGAATTTAACTGTTTTAATTTTTAATTAGTCATGAATTTAACTGTGACTTCACAAAACTGATCGTGCATAGTTCAGATTTAAAATATATAGCAGACTAATTTAACTGTATTATTTACAAGCATAATTTCTTTGATTCTATGTTGCATTGCTTTATTTCAGAACACAAGAGATAAAATATTTAATTTCTAAATAAGTAAAATAAATGAAATAAAACACCAAAATACATCTAGCAAATATTCTTGTAATAATAAACTCTGACTTACTAATAACAAGACCACAATTTAAATTAGTAATTTAGAAAAATGTATTGCTTCAAAATAATTCTAGAAAATCCACAATTCTAAGATCTGTTTGATTCTAAAGTGTACTGTATTTTTAGTGACACTTAATATGGAAGGAAATGTGCATTTCAAAACTGAAGAAAATAATATAAATATCAGAATTCCTTTCATGGAAAACAAGGATCCCATTTTCAAAGGAAACACAACTTTGGCGTTTCCTTGTTATTGGCCACCACACATACATTTGGTATACACCGCACATACAATATTTAAGTTATGCACAATTAGTAACTTAAAATTAGCACTAGCTGCCAAAATTGCTTGAATTTTCTAATTTGTAACATGCGAATTTCAAATGATGCTAAAAGTTTATATGATGGCCACTTTAATAAGTATACTGTTTTCTGATTTCCAGGAATAATTAATCTGTCAATCAGTTTGGTTTAAATGACAATATGGAATACTTTTCTATAACTTGGTTAATAAAAGACCATTTATCAACTCTACAAACATGACACAGCACATAAATTTGCATGAACTTGAGATGGAATATGGCTTTCATTGCTTGGTACTTTTCGAATTCGCCGGTGCAAATCTCACCAAGCAGACTGTATTAGCGACAACATACAGTACACACATAAAAAATTTTAACAAATGTTAGTTCTAAGAATTTTTTATTTTGAAGGCATAAACATTTTAATATTATTTAAAATTTTGTAAAAAAAAACCAATAAATAAAGACAATAAATTTGTAAAAAGATATTAATTCAAGAATTTACTATGCTTTCATAATTCAACATCCTGATTCGCTGCTTCATATCACGTAACTCCAAGTTATCTCATTTCACGTAAGCCCACCAGCGGCCGAGCGGTAAAGACGCTGAACACTGGTAGTTCGGTCCGAGGTTTGAATCCCGCAAACAGGCTGTCTGCATGGGTGTTTTCATAGTTTTCCCCATGTGTAATGTGCATACGAGCCAGTTTCCCTTAGAAAGACGAAGGCATCCCTCCCTTTAGGCAGATAGCCCTCGTGTGCCTTGCTATAATTGAATTGAATAATCCATCTCACGCAAACTATGCTACAAAAAATAATTCTCTCAGTAATTATCTACATTAATTTCAAGTTAAATCTTAATTTGGAATATAAGTTTAAATGCAAGAATTATTTCAATTCGTACGAATAGCTTACTCAGAAGTTATATAAAACTTTAGTGCTTTACTTCGCTAGGACATTCTCATTAGAATTGATGAATTTAACCCTATACTTTTCCTTTCCTATATTTCGCCATCAGGTGAGTGGTGTGATTGCATCCTATTTGACTTAATTACCATGAATGGTCTTGGAGCATAAAATTAAAATATCTGGTAAAAATTATACGTAATTGTATGCCAGTATTGAAATAAACAATTAATCTGATAAGAAATGGCTGCAACTTGTTTTGAAAATGAGGCATAAAAGGTTACCAGCGAGGATATTCCATTTGTCATCGGTTGTACCATTATTGGCGACCTGTGCCGGCAAAACAGAAAAGTACCCATTGCTTTAAGGAACGCTAGGAAAGTGGGAGAAATACCTTATACACTCCCCCTTTTAAAGGGCGACTGGAGTTTTTAGGGGACCCAATCGCCAAATCCTGGGTGTGGAAAGTCACTTATATGGAAAGTCACTTATCGTCAAATCCTGGGTGTGGAAAGTCACTTATATCATTCACAACCCTTTTAGTTCGGGCACCACTGTAGAGACATTATAATTTTTGGAAGCAGGAAAGTGAAAAATAGCAACCGCCTTCGCCGGGAATCAAACCACGGACCTCTGGAATACCGGCCCAGCGTGCAGAACCACTACACCACGAAGGCACGCTACAAAGGCGGGAGAAATACCTTATAAAGTGAATTGCATGAATTTTCTAAAAATTTATTGATCAGACCTTTCAATGAGAACAAAGCTTCATCCATAGCCTGCTCACTGCAAACAGTACATGAAGATGAAAAGTAGTTATGCAACCAGCAAGTTGGATAACATTGGAAAACAAACTAGAGTTGATGATTTAATATAAGACAACAGATAAGCAGTCTCTTCCTTAATATCACAAATACTGCTTGAACATATTGAACATATTAAAAATAATATGCTTGGACATATTATTAAAAGAAAAAGAGAGTTTTGGTTGTTTTCCGATAAAGACATCATCACATGCATAACAGATTCCTTAAACCAGAGTTTCTTAAACTTGCAGCAGGGGGTCACCAAAAATTTTAGCAGTTTTGATATTTCTTTAGCTTAAAATAATTTTACAGTTACCAAATATTTTTACACAATGTATCTGAAAATAGATAAAGATAAGACAACACAGACAAAGAAAAAATGAAAACGTTTTGACGCATTCTTTTTATAACATATACGTTCCTTTTACTTGCTTTGCATGTGACTCTGTCATTTTGTCTGTTACATATCTAAAATTTTCACACAATTCAATGTCTTAAAATTAGAAATAAAAGTTAATGACCTAAAACTGCAGTAGTATATTAAGCTGTGTTGAGATGACGGTATAAAGGGCATAAGTGGTTTAAGCTGAACTGCACTGTTAAGCAACCAATCTGTGCTACATCACAAAATCTGGTTTAAGGCCCTTGGCATAAAGTTCAAAGTTTTCAACATTATGCCGACTTCAGATAAGCGTCAACCAATTAGAGCGAACATGCAAAACCTGAATGGGAAAACAAAGCGGAAAAGCTGTAGACACATTCACGCATGTGCAAATTTAGCTTCTCTAAGCGGGTGTGGCTGTGTCACAGGTGTGAACAGAAATCCTGCATTTTATTCCTTGTGACTAAGCTTCTGCGACATTTACATCGCCGTCTGAAGTGAAAAAATTGACAATTTCGTTAATGTGTGAGTCAGATTTGCACAATGCTCCACAAAATTTTCATAAATATTATGGTGTCCTGGGGTCAAGAAAAAAATCTCAGTGATAAAAAGAGGTCGCGACTGAAAAAAGTTTAAGAAGCCCTGCTTTAAACCAATGATCTCAAACTGGCAGCCTCCGAAGCAATTTTATGCAGCCCATAAAGACATTTCAAGTATATTTTTGTTGCACAAAGTTCAAGATTTTAGTTATTCAAGTCCAAGTTTACATTATTTCCATTGAAAACAAACATGATTAGCATATCGGATAATCTATAAATGCAGCTAATTAATTTTAATTATGATATAAATCTTTTTCAAGGATTTGAAGATACAGGTTTTATTAACTTTTATTCATACTTGTCAAAAATAAATGAGCTTAGTTCCGAATTTGTCCACTAAGAATAATCAGTTTGTTTTTCAACATATACTGTATATTTCCATGCATAAGCTAAGAATTTTAGGTACTTTTTCTAAAGCTACATTACAGGTGTTGGCTTGCATACGGATCTGTTTATTTCACAATGTCAGCCAGGCACAAGTGATGACTTGCCAAATATCCTACTTTTTTATTTCATTAGTTAATGAAAAAAATTAATTTAAAATTTTTATTATAATTTACATGAAAAAGGCTAAACATGACTGAATGGAAGCATAAGAGTAAATAACTATTCCAGATCATTATTATAATTTATATATAAAAATTGCTAAACATAACTGAATGGATGCCTGCATCGCTATTTCGCTACCAACTTATTGCTCTAACTATCCATGTTTAAGCAGAAAGAAAATTTTCTGCAGTCATGAATATTCATTATAAAAGAGAACTTATGTTAGCAATAAAGGAATTGAAACTTTTGATTATTGTTAAGGAGTTATTATAGAAATGCATATACAGTCAAAAGTCGTTAATCCGGACTCGTCGGGACTTTGGCGATTCCGGATTATCGATTTTTCCGGATTATAGATTATCAGTTTAAATCTAGTAAGATGGCATGCAGAAATTCTAAAATTAAAAATATGAAACCTTAATTTATGAAATAAAGAACCATTATAATCTAAAGGGTATCAAAATTTACAAAAAGAAAAGCTTAATATTTATTTGTTTACTTTATTAAACATTTCTTTCAATGTAAGTTGTTTTAAGTTGCTTTGTTTTATGTGATAATACTTTCTCTTTAATTCTATAAACAGACACAATTTCTTGTTCAGTTACAAAGTTCCGCTGTTCAAGTCCCGTTAATTGTTGTGCCGAGAATACCAAAG